GTGTCATGTGTTTTCAGTGGAACCTGGCTGTTGTTCAAGTGCCCTTAGCGAGGTGACTCATCGACCCAGGCCCCTTCCATCATGTGGCCCTGCCACCGTCAGCACAGTCATCTTCAGAACTGTGGTTACCCCTGTGGAGGGAGTACGTCTTCCTATCAGCTGAATTTGCTCTCTTTTGTGCCTTTAGACAAAATCTCACTGTCCCAGTAACTGTCTAGCAGATTCAGGCCCAGAGCCTCTTTTGTCCATACCCAGGACTCTGCTGCGAGCAGTTCTCGCCACACAGCCTTTATTCATAGGAGAGGGAACAATCAGCAGAGGCTGATCTAGAAATCCTGCAGGGTTGGCTCACCTACGAGTGAAGAATCCCCACCTATGAGTGGAGAATAGAGGCTCTTACCAGGCTGGGGGGTGGGGGGGTGGGAGGTTGAAGATGGCCCATGTTTGGTAGAGTGATCACTGTTAACGAGAAATCACAAATTAAGAGTTTAGAACATGTTTCTGAAAGTAAAGAATTCAGCCACAGTACAGAAGATGCTTGTTATGGAAAAAATTACTTAAGTCAACCCCTTTTATATGCAGAAATGGTGTTCAGCCATCTGGGATAAAAATGAAATATAACTTTTATTTGGTGGTGGTAGGCAGAGCACTCTTATTTTTTTTAAATGTTTATGTTGAGAAAGAGAGCACGAGCGTGTGAATGTACTAGTGGGAAGGGACAGAAAGGAGGAGAGACAGAATCCCAGTGTGGGGCTTGATCTCACAAACCATGAGATCATAACCTGAGTCAAACGTTTAACTGACTGAGCCACCCGGGCGCTTTCTGATCATTCTTCTCTTAAAGCCTCATTTTAACAGAACAATTTAATGGTGTCAGGATGAAGCCCCAGACTTAGTGTGTCTTTTGTTTCATCTGATAAAGCTTCTGCCTGAGTCAGTGGCGTCAGCAGCATCCCGAGAACCCCGGCTCCCCAGGCCGCGCCTGGGGAGCCAAACACAATACAAGACCTGGGGCACGTTTATCATGGAGGATGGAGTCACAGTAGAGACACTCAGACACATTCAGCCCTCTTTTCATAGTAGCCTCAATTTTTAAAGGTTTTTTTTTTTTTTCCTTTTTTTGATGGGCCAAGAATTCCAGGTTGTCTATTTTCTTTCATTTCTTTAAAAGTGCAATTCCATTTTCTTCTGGCTTCAATAGTTTCCGTAAAGAAACCAAATATAATTCTCCTAGTTTTTCACTTGAAGGGAACATGGCTTTCCTCCACCCTCTGGATACCGTCACAATGTTTCCTTTATCTTTGGTTTTTACCAGTTTGCCTATGATGCGTGTAAGTATGGTTTTCCTCATATTTCTCCATAATTTCCCATATTATCCTCTTTAGCCTCAGCTCTGCTGAGCTTCCCTTTGGCAGATTTCTTCAAATATTGCTTTTCTAATTCTCTTCTCTTTCTGGAACTCAGTTACACATGTTAAAACTTAGAGACTGTATACACCAAATCTCTCTTACCCTCTTCTGGTGTTTTCTTTAATTAAAAATTTTTAAATTTATTTGTATAAGATGCATTCTGAATAGGTCTTGTTGATGAGTCCTAAAACTGATTTGATCTTCTGCTGTTAAACCAATGTAATGAGTTATTAATTTCATATATTATATTTTGAGGTTCTAGAATGTCAATTTCTTTCTTAAGGCCTAATTCTGAGCTGAAATGCTCCATATTTTCACTGATTTTGTTCACCTTTTCCTGTGTGATTTTTAAAGGATCATTTTGAAGTCTTTTCTGTTAACTCCATTTACTGGATTATCTCTGCTTCTGTTGTCTACTTTCTTGACTATTGGTCGGTCACTTTTTCTTTCTTAATGTCTCCTAGTTTTTAATTACATGTTAGACATGGTGTTGACACATTATAAAAGGGCTGGATTGTGTTACCTTCTTCTAAAGAATAGTTTTGTTGTGGAAGAATTTATATTACTAGTAGATTATCTCTATCTTGTTGGGGTTTTATTTGAATGTTAGAATGTTCTATTCCAGTTTTGTCTTTAGTCCTAGGATGTAGCCCTTGTTCCTATGCATGGCCTTTATTCACAGGGCATGATTTTTCTGGTGTTAATTCAATTTTTTAAATGTTTTATTTGAGAGAGAGAGAGACAGAGACAGACAGACAGACAGCATGAGCAGGGGAGGGTCAGAGAGAGAGGGAGATACAGAATCTGAAACAGGCCCCAGGCTTTGAGCTAGCTGTCAGCACAGAGCCCGACGTGGGGCTCGAACTCACAAACTGTGAAATCATGACCTGAGCTGAAGTCGGACGCTTAACCGACTGAGCCACCCAGGAGCCCCTGGGGTTTCAGTTCAGTGTTGGGGATTTTCACCAAGGTTTCTATACTCTGGTTGAGTTGGAACTCCAGTGTCTTCTCAGGACTCTTTTCTACTTTGCTTCCCATACTCTTGCTTTTACGTAGTCATTTTAGGATATGGTCAAAGACCTGGGGAGACCTTCTACATCGATTTTGGGGCCTATTTTTCTGTGGTTTTTTCTTCTTCTTCAGCACCCTGCTTCCAAATGTCAGCTATTGCACCGGATTCAAACTCTGATCTCTACTTCTTCTGGCCAGTAAGACTGTTGGGTTCTACTTGTCTGAACCACGGTTTAGAAAATGCCTCTGAGGGAGAAAGTAGGAGTAAATGTGGGGTTTATCCCATATACTCCTTCTCACAAGCATTGTAATCCTGTGCGATTCACCATATATTGTCTGAAATCAATTATTTCATATAGATGGTCTGGTTTTAGTTTATAGAGGGTGGGTTAATGCATTATCAGCTATTCTGTAATGGATGGAACTGGACACCTTCATTCATTTTTATAAATAAAAAGCAATATAAGTATTTAAGATTCTTCCATGTCTTTTCATGGCTTGATAGCTCATTTCTTCTTAGTGCTAACTAATTCATTGGCTGGGTGTACCATAGTTTATTTACTATCCAATTACTAAAGGACATCTTGGTTTCTTTCAAGTTTTGGCACTTATGAATGAAACTGTTATTAATATCTGTGTGAAGGTTTTTGTGTGGAGTTTCAACTCCTTTAGGTGAATACCAGGGAGTATGATTATATATAAGAGTATGTTTAGTTGTGTAAGAAACTGCCAAACTGTCTTTCAAAGTGGCTGTACTATTTTTCATTCCACACACTGTTAGGAAGTATTCTCTCTGCTTCTGTCTTTTGTTAGAGATTGTAGAGATTTGGTGTAATTTCTTAACATTTTTGTAGAATTCATCAATCAACCCAAACTGGTCCTGGTGATTTCTATTTTGGCAACTTATTTATTAATTCCTTTTCTTTAATTGATACAGGCCTTTTCAGCTAGTCTATTTCTTCTTGTGCATTCTGGCAGACTGTCTTTCAGAGAATTGGTCTATTTCTATAGGTTATCCAATTTGTGGGTAGAGAATTGTTCATAATATTCTTGTATTAACCTTTTAATGTCTATGGGATCAGTACTGGTGGTCCCTCTTTCATTTCTGATATTAGTAATTTGTGTCTTTTTTCCTAATTATTGTTGCTAGTGGTTTATAAATTTCATTGACAATGGAATATTATTTAGCATTCTAACAAACTGGCTGTTAAATCATGAAAAGACATGATAGAATTTATATGCATATTCCTAAGTGAAAGAAGCCAATCTAAAAAGGCCACATACTATATAATTCCAACTATGTGATATTCTGGAAAAGGTTAAATTATAGTGACTGTAAAAAGATGAGTTGTTGCCAGGGGTTAGTGGGGAGAGAAGGATGAATATGCAGAGAGAATATTTGGGGGCAGTGAAACTACTCTGTATGATACAGTAATTATGGATGTACTTTATTACACACTTGTTAAAACCCACAGAATATACAACACCCAGAGTAAAACCCTAAGGTAAACTATGAACTTTGGATGGTAATGATGTGTCAGTGTAGGTTCATCAGTTGTAACAAATGGTGGACAATGGGGATAATGGGGGGAGGGGGCGCTATAGATGTGTGGGTGTCAAGAAGTTTATGGGAAATCTCTGTACTTTCTGCTCAGTATTGCTGTGAACCATCTCTAAAAAATCAAAACAAAACTATTAAAACAAAAATAAAAACATAGTAGTTACGCTTTTAATATCCCAATGAGCTCTCCTTGAACCTTTGGCTATTGGAATTATTGTTGAGAGTAGACTACCCAACCTTAGATTTTCCGAGTTCGATCTTGCTACCATGAGCTAGGTTTGTAGCTTGTAATGTTTATGTACTTCACCTACCAGATCCTTATTCTGCTTGGCCTTATCCTGTAATGGACACCACTGATGACCTGTGACTCTTGTTTTCTCACTTATCACTTCCATCTTGACTTCTGTGCTGACATACCTGCTTCTCTGTAGTGTCCTCAAGGAATCCCACTGGTGTTCACTGTCTTGTGAGCGATAAACTGTGAGATGCTCCACTTGCTTTCCCATGAATGAATGAATGGCTGCTGAGGTACATGTGTCCCCTCTAAAGGAAACTGCACATCTGATCTTTTACATTTTTGCTACACTTTGAGAAGTAAAAGGACTATTGTGAACCATAATCTATGCATTTCACTGTCATTCTGTGACACACTGTTGCTCTGTGCACTTAACATCCTTTAATATATAGTATTTTAATTGTTGGAGGTGTACAACTTAGCACTTTACAATGCACTATCTTATTCTGTAGTTATTTTAGTCATGTATGTTTTATATGTAAATTATACAATAATCTTCTAGTGGGGAGAAATGTCTTTTCTATCATCGATGGTTTCTAGCACACTGAAGATATAACAGAAACCCAAGAAATGATATTTGCGGACTAATGCATGAAGGTGCCCTGTAAGGATGTTAAAGTCATAGCGTATGTCATTCCTTCCTTGAGTTTTAAGCGTAAGTTGTTTTGGGAGAATTCAAAAGTTCATAGATTTTTTTTCCACCTTGACAAGAATTAAATATAAGTAATTTTAAATTTTCTGTATTTTCTCTGCATTTCTTTTTAAATCTCGGAAAGATGTTCCCACTAAAGAGAAGTTATATAGACTTTGCAGTTTAGTCTATGCGTACGTGTATGGAAGGGGAGGGATAGAGATAGAGGGATGGGGAGGGCTTTCTCATTTTTCTTTTCCTTTTACTGTGTACGCGTATGTTATTTTTCATCCACGGTTTTCAGAGTAGCATTAAAGCTAAATTATTTGTCCCTGTGGAAATTCAGATGGAAAGTAGGTTGTCCGTAATTCCTATTTGGTTGTTCATCCCTATTTTTAGTTAGATGTGGAGCTATTTGCTTAGAGTTTCGCTCACTGGGTTCTTCAGTTTGAAGACTCTCTTTGTTGATACCTGCATCCTTCTCAAAACTTGAGAGAGCAGTCTCCCATTTGCTGCCGAGAAGTTTCAGGTCTTGAGTCTTTGTGGCCTTGATTCGAGAGTGTTTTTTCTTCTTGGGCACTTTGAGAGGTGACAAACTCTGGGACACAGACTGGAGCCACTCTGAAGAGTTTACCACAAGCTTCCTTTGGCTTATAAACGAGGGATTTCGGGGTTGTGTCCAGGATGTGCTGTATCTCTTTATATTTTTGTAAGTAGCTGGCTTTAATCTAGGAAAGAAAGAAAGAATGTGAGTTTTTGTCCACACGTACGTACCCTCGGTATTTGTAGTCCTTAGGTATTTGTGATAGTTTAAGTCATGTTTTTAAATCCTTTGGTGAATTTATCTTCTCTTAAAACTTTCACCATTGTTTCTATGATCTAGGTCTTCATTTCTGGTCATGATTTTTCAGAAGTCCTCCATTCCCGTGCTTCTGAATGCCTGGAGGATGTATTTACTGAGATGCCTGCCCTGACCCAGGCTTCCTGATATAATGGCCCCTCTGGGCCTCAGTGCCTTAACTATACATCTAGTTAAAATACATGTTCTCTAAAACTCCACTTTTCTCTAAAAATTGACTTGTTTATTCTATTAGAATGTACTCAGTATACAGCTATAGGTTTGGGTTCTTTTTTTCTGTAGTCAGGAAAAAGATCAATGTGAGTCCCAAATAGGGACGCTGCATCTATTTCATCTTCCCAGAAGTGAAAAATTTCTCTAATCACGTTTTGATCTATATAATCTTTCTCAAGAATTTTTATCTTTACTAGATCAAATGTCAAACATGAGGTTTATTCTTCAATATCTGACTTCTGACCAATGTTTGACCAGATATAAAGTGAGAGATGTAAATCATCTTGCTAATATAATAGACTCCATTCATTTTGGATAAGAACCGAGCAGACAACTCAAGTTCGAGCCCTACATTTAGATGTTACATTCTTTGGTATGATAATTCTGCCATAAAATACATTAAGTAGTCTCTCTCTAGTCCAGACTTGGATAGATGTCTAAAATGGTTCAACAGAGGTGTGATTTTCTCATTTTTGGTTTAGTACCACTTATTCTGGGTGATGGTATGTGTGCTGAGCTGTATATAAGAAACAGAAAGGCAGCCATAAAGAAATCAGTTAAAAGAACAAAAAATACTTTGTATTTAATTATTATAAAAATAATTTAAATATACAGTGAATTCATCTGTTAAGAATGAACTGCTTGCTACTTTCCTACTTTTTCTTATATCCATGTATACCTACACTAGATACTTTGGGAAGTGTCCACCCCAGGCACAATTTGCCCTTTTCTGGGGATTGCCTCTTGGTCCCCAAGGGTAGGCCTTCCATCAGCCATATTTGTAACTGTCTGATCTGTCACCCACTGGTATAGTTGCCAATCAGATTCTCTTCCCCTATACTTTAGAACTGTCAATGAGAGACAGTGCATCTTGTAAGTTAAAGTGCTCTAGGATGCAAATTTGGGAGGGTAAGAGGTATGAAAACATTTTTGTAGAGCAAGAAAAGTGGAGACTGAAGACAGATAAAGAGCCCCGGTAGCTTTCCATTCCCTAGTGTCAGTCCTTGTCTGAGACCTGGCTGAATTCTCTCTTCCCTTTATATCCATAAATAGTCTCGGATTTTCTCAGAATTCTTCCCTCTTACCCTACCTTATGCTTTTTGATTATGCTAGCTTAAATTGGTTTCTGTTCTTTGCAACCAAAAAGTTCTTAATTAATACAACCTACTATATATCTACTCTTCTAGACTCAGGCTAATCTATACTAAGTACATTTCTGGGTTCAAAGGATGTAAGAACTCTCTCCTGAAAATAATGATTAAAAATCAAGCTATGTCTTAGTTGTCATCTTTGTCCAGGTCTGTTGTATTTGTTACTAGTTTCCTGATTTTTTAGTTGCTGATATTATCATATGTGATTGATCCATTGTATGCTGTTTCATGCATATTAACTGATCTCTTGGATAGAATTTCTGTTAGGCACTGCCTTCCCCAACATGACTGCTATCCCATCTGACTAGAAACTGTCACCAACTGCCAATTTTTTGGCAATTTTTTTTGACTTTGTTGATTATATAATAAACAAATAGGCATTAATCAAAATTTAGGAAAAGAAAGCATAAAGAGTACTATCATTCTCTGCCAATATTTTAACTATCCAGAGATAATCATTGTTGGGACTATGTGCTCCCAGAGATTTTTCTAGGTATCCATGTGTTTCAGTGTGTATAATATGCACACATTAAATATATTTGCATAGTGCACAAATGCAGCTATACCAAAGCTGTCCGGTAGCTCTTATTCACGTATGCATTGTGAACATTATCCCATGTTAATTAATATGTTTATTTTATGGATATAATTTAAGCAATCTGCTATTGTTGAACATTCAGAAACCTCTTACCTAGGTTTTTTTTCCCCCCTTTTTCCCTAGTTTAATTTCTAAACGTGTAATTTTTTTAGTCAAAATGTAGGACATTGAGGATTTTTCATTTATATTGTTGGACTGCTTTCCTGAGCCTCTGTATCAGTTCATATTCCCATCACCAGTGAGTGAATTCTTCCACTGGGAGGCAAAGATGAACAGTATTTCATGATTGTTTTAATTTGCATTCCCTCAGTTTAAGTGAAATTAAACATTGTAAATATTCATTGGCCATTTTTTCCTTTTGTGAATTTCCGGTTCATAGGCTTTGCTCATTTTCCTATTGAAATATTCACAATTTTGTCACTGTGTAGGCGATCTGTGAATGTTAAGTATATTGATCTTCTGTTTTTCATTTATATTTTAAAAACTTTTTAAAATGTTTTTATTTTTGACATAGAGAGTCAGAGCATGAGTGGGGGAGGGGCAGAGAAAGGGAGACACAGAATCTGAAGCAGGCTCCAGGCTCTGAGCTGTCAGCACAGAGCCCGATGTAGGGCTCGAAGTCATGAGTCGTGAGATCATTACCTGAGCAGAAGCCAGACTCCCAACCGACTGAGCCACCCAGCAGCCCCATCATTTATATTTTAAAGAGAAATATCAATGTATAGTGATTACAGACTCTGAAAGCAGAATGTCTAAATGGGGTAGCATTTCTGCTACTTGCTGGCTATGTGACCTTGGACAAATTACTTAACCTCTTTGTAGCTCAATTTCCTTATGTGTAGAACGTAAATATATGCATGCTTGTGGATAAACACAGAATCATATCTAGCACATAAAAGCACTTCACCCAGGCACCCCAATCTGGTCTCACCCTTTATGCTTTCCTCTGAATATCTATAAACTGAAGTAACTCAAGTTAATTTTTTCTAATTCTGGTTGCTTCCTAGATTATAGGACTTAACCACATTAGGGAAATCTGAAGTCAGGCTGTGGTCACACTTTATTCATGGATACTTCACTCATAGATTCAAATTAATGAGTGATTTCATGCAAATAAGACAATCCAATAAGGCCTGATAAGCTACTCCCTTCCCAGTTCCAGTGTTTTCTGATGGCTTTGGGCTTTTGTTCCTTTGTCAAATGTGGTATAGCTGCTACCATTTTTAAGAGGGTAGGTTTGTTTCTTAGGGTAATGAGTTAATAAGCATTCCTTCCTTGCCAAAAATGTATTAAATAGCTGAGAATGACAAAATTGTATTAACTTACTGATATTGAATTTGGAAGTTGGTTCTTGGATTGAGTATCTGTTTTATCTGGGGGTTTTGCACATTTTTAGTGCTTTCCATGATAGGGAGCAAATACTGCAATAATTCTTGAGTTTGAGCTATTCTTTTATCCCTGTAGAGTCTTTTCTCATCATCTGTCCAATTTATGGCAGTCTTCTTGCTTTGGAAAGAAGTACATTCTTTCATTTTTCTTTTAAAGTTGTGACGCAGATCTGTGGAGCAACCACAAAAATATGTATAAATGCATGAACTGAACTGACTCAACAATTATTTATTGAACATTATGTGTCAAGGATCTTCCTAAAGATTTATCCATTTGGAGCTTATACTTTACAGGGTCAGCAATGAGCAACTAAAAAGTAAAATATATGTCAGATGATAAAATTTATAGGTAAAATAAAGCTGGGGAGGGGAATAAAGAATTCTTAGGGAAGGGGCTTTTATTTTATTTTTTTTTAAGGCATTCAGGGAAGGCCTCCCTGTGAAGCTGACATGGCAAAGGAGTTAGGGAGTGAGTCAAGCAGTGACCAGAGGGAAGAGCATTCGAGGCAAGAGATATAGTAAGTGCAAAGGCCCTGAGCTAGGTGCATGGCTGTGTGTTGAAGGATCACCAAGATGGCGTAAGTGGCTGAAGTAGATTGAACTAAGAGGGAAGAGATAAGACAGCAGCTCAGATAGGTAATTTGGACTCTGTTCACATGAGACCTCACAGGCCATTGTAAAGACTTTGATTTTACTAAGTATGAAATGGGGAGGCATTTTGAGGAGTGTCACAACCCAAGATTTGTTTTAACAAGATCCTGCTCTTTTATAATTCTATACAGTAAAACCTTGGGTTGCGAGTAATTTGTTCTGCGAGTGTTCTGCAAGGTGGGCAAACATTTCTAGTAAATCTTAACTTGATAAACAAGCGATATCTTGCAATATGGATGGCAGATGATGCCAAATGTCACATGATCACAACTGAGCCAATGGTTCTTGAAATTTGCTTTGACAAACGAGTGCCTTGGATTACAATCATGTTTCCAAAACGAATTATGCTCGCATACCAAGGTTTTACTGTATTTTGAGATTTTTCTAATGAATTCATGTGGGATGAGAGAGGAAAGGAATCAGTGGTGACTGCAAAGCTTCTCATCTTGGGAAAAGAAGGATGGAGATATGGGAAGAGCACATTAGAATCCCTTCTTTATTACATGATATGAAGGAATTATCATTTATTTTGTTCATTGTGATGATCAGTATAATATTTTTAAAAAGTGCTCATCTCCCCTGTCCATTACTAAGGCTACTATTAAAGTAAACCCAGAAAATAAGTGTTGGTAAGGATGTGAAGAAATTAGAACCCTGGAGCACTATTGGTGGGACTGTAAAATGGTGAAGTCACTATGCAAAACAGAATGGTGGTTCCTCAAAAAATTGAAAATACAATTATTATATGATCCAGCAATTCTACATCTGGGTATATGCCCCAAAGAGTTGAAAGCAGGTTTCAAAGAGTTATTTGTATACCCATGTTCATAGAAGCAGCATTATTCACAGTAGCCAAAAAGGTGGAAGCAATCCATGTGTCCACTGATGGATGAATGGATAAAATGGTTTATTCCTATATTGTAATATCATTCAGCCTTAACAAGGAAGGGAACTTTGACACTTGCCACAACATAGATGAAACTTGAGGACATTACACTAAGTGAAATAAATGCTAAGTATTTGTCTTCCGAACACTTGATTACACTTACATTAAGGTGCCTAGAGCAGTCAAAGTCAGAAAGATTCAAAGGAGATACTTGTCAGGAGCTGAGAGGAGGGATGAACGGGGAGGTGCTTAACAGGTAGAGAGTTTCAGTTTTGCAAGATGAAAAGAATTTTGAGACTGTGTGCACAACCATGTGAATGAATTGAATTTTACACTTAAAAATAATTAAGATGGTAAATTTTATTTCATGTACATTTTAACAGAATTCTTAAAAAGTCACTATACTCAGGAAGAGAGATAAGGGATAGAAGGAAACCCTGAATAAAGCCTGAAGGACGACTAGTAGACATTTTAAAGGATGTGGCAGGATTACTTATAATGCTGAAGGTGGTATGTAGATAACAGAAGAAAAAGTAGAATACACTTAGACTAAAAGCAAGAAATAGGTTATGCTTTGTAAAAAAAAAAAAAAAAAAAAAAAAAACACATAGAAATATATGGGCAAAATGATATGATTTGCTGAACTTGCTCTAAATGCTTCAGATACTCTAAATGCTCTAAATAGCACCAAAAAAAAAAAAAAAATAGATGAAAGACTAGCAGGATGTCCATAACTACTAAGGGCAGGTCATGAGCACTGGTGGATTCATTATTATATTCTCTCTACTTTTGTTTATGTTTGAATTTTTCAGTTTGGCTTTTTATTTTTTTTAATGTTTTTTATTTTTTTTTAAATTTATTTCTGAGAGAGAGAGAGAAACAGTGTGAGCAGGGGAAGGTCGGAGAGAGAGGGAAATAAATAATCTGAAATAGGCTCCAGGCTCTGAGCTGTCAGCACAGAGCCCAACACGGGGCTCGAACCCATGAACCGTGAGATCATGACCTGAGCTGAAGTCAGATGCTTAACCGACTGAGCCACCCAGGTGCCCCCACAGTTCGGCTTTTTAAAAACAGAATTGTCCATTATTAAAAATGAATGTTGCAGGGCACCTGGGTGGTGCAGTTGGTTAACTTCAGCTCAGGTCATGATCTCACCGTTCAGGGCAGAACAGAACCCGCTCAGATCCTGTTTCCCTCTCTCTGTCCCTCCCCTGCTTGTGCTCTCTCAAAAATAAACATTAAAAAAATTTAAAAGTGAATATTGCTATATTTTGAGAAAGTGAGAAAGAGGGTAGTAATTAGAATTATGTCACCGAGGAAATTGAAGGGTATGAGTGCTAGGGCACCACTGATACCTGGGAGAGAAACATTTGGACTTCATTTTTTAAAATTTCAATATCCCCCCAAAGAGAGAGAATAGTATAAGAAACCCTCTTAAATCCATCACTCAGCTTCAAAAACTGGATTTTTTTTTTTTTTTTTTGCTGTTACGACGGACCAAGATTTAGAGTCCATCAGTGGCACCAGATGAAGTGTTTACAGGTAGGTAATAAATGCCTGCACTGGGAAATCATGTTCTGAGGAAACAGCAATGATGCCTGGAATGCCGTGACTTACTGGGGGCCCAGCTAAAGAGAAGGCTGGATACTGCAAGAGAAGTGCGTTTGTGTTTACCAAATACAAAGAAATGACTTTGATATAAGAAACCTGTCTGCTAGGACTTAGGAATTTGCTCCTCCCCTACTCTCCTCAGTCAGCTGAATCTCTGTATTTGTACCACAGCTCATCAGTAAATCTGACCTCTTCCAGAACTGAAGCAGTCTGACTGGATCTCTCACTATTCTCTGACAGAATCCATCTCCTTTCCTCCTTGGTAAATTCAGTAATTGGAAAGGACAGAATTCCTTCTGTAATAAACGGATAATGAAGCTAGGAATTAAGAAGAAAATGCATATATTGAAAAGAAAGGGGCAACAGAAAAGAATAAAAGATAAGTCCCTCTGAAATCAGTAAAAAAAAAAATTGTAGAGTTTTTATTAGTATGTCATGAAGATTCATGAGGACATATGCCTGTAAGATAATGTAATCAATAAGTGATGAGAATCTCAACTCAGGAAAGGTTGAATGAGACTGAGAAACATAATTTTTAGTAGCTGTGGGGGAGGGACACTGAAAAAAACCCTCCCCTTTTTAACAAAATTCCATGAAAACTACCTGTCTCCTATCTCCCTTCTATTTTAAAATATACTTTAGATTTGTACCTCTGTCATTCTATTGAGATTTCTCTGATCAAGATCCTGAATAATCCCTCCATGTTGTAAAGCCCAACAGTAAATCCACCTCACTAAGCAGAAGCATCGGACTTTGTTGATTTTTGCCTCCTCTTTGATACACTTGCTCACTTAGCGTCCAGGACACACATCTCTCGGTTCCCTCCCGACCCACAGGGTGCTCAGTCTGCTGCTTTTGTTGGTGGTTTTCTTTTCCTGATCCATCAGAACTGGAATTCCTAAGGATTAGCTCCTTACCCCTCTTCTATTTCTGTCCTCACTTAGAAGTCTCATCCGGGTTCACACTCTCAAGTACTACCTTTATCTGAAAATTCCCCAGCGTACATCCCGCCCAGACCTCTTCCCTGAACTCCAGCCTCCCAGCCAACTGCTTATTCAGTGCCTGTTGTACTTCAGTGTCTGAAACGATTTCAAAACCAAGTCTAAACTGAATTGCTGCTCTGCCCTCAGTCTCGGCCATCTCAGCAGAGGACAAGTCCGCCCAGCTAGTTGCCCTGGAAACCCAAACCCTGGCAGTTCAACAGTTGTAAACAGCTGTGAAACCCGTCCCCACAATCAGGATCTAGAAAACGTCATCCCTAAAAGATTCCTTGTGCTCCTTTCCAGTCCATTCTTGCCTTCGTCTCCTTCTCTATCCTTTCCTCCTCCAGGAAACCCTCATCTGCTTTTTTGCCTCTATAACTTAGCCTGCATTTCATCCACATGAGATGTCATACAGCATTTACTTTTCTGTATCTATTTTCTTGTGCTCAGCAGATTTTGATTTTCAGATTTTGAGATTCATCCACGTGTGTATCAGTTCATTACTTTTTTATGCTATGGTATGGAAAAGGCACCAATAACAAGGAGGTACTGGGAATAAGGCAGTTAAGATTTTTCTCAAAGCTATATTAAACTGAAATAATGTTTTTCTATAATAGACTCATACAGAAATTACATAAGTATTTTTCAGAATCAGTAATAAAATGGCTATTAATCCTCTCTGTTTATAAAAGTTCTCATAATCCAAATTTCATAGGATTTATTCATGATACAGTGAAAGCAACCTTTGTATTTATTAAAATCTGAAACAATTAAACAACAACAACAACAACCCAAAACACCTCCAGTTGGCATCCTGGTCTTCTCAGTCCAGTTGGGAATTTGTGTGCTCACAGGACACTTGAAGGATGTCACTCTGAAACAGTTTCCATACACATCAGTGCTCTTGGGCTGAATTACTTCCTGGACTGACTTCTCACCAGTTTCTAACAATTGTCTTTGTTGGTCTTTGCTGTGCCTCTGAATCCTATTTTGGGAGCTGAAAGAAATTGGGTACTCGGATTTCAATGGCAACCATGAACTGTCTAATTAGAGTAACGTAATGCCATGTTATATTTGTATATTACACCTCAGAATATGGAAAGGGTTCTTACAGCTATGGGCTCCCTTGCGGATCTTACCAGTCCTATGATAGAGGCAGGGTGGCCGATGTTATCCCCATCTTACATCAGAAAGGGAATGTTAGGGGACGAGAATGGTTAAACTCTTAAGATCATACAGCTAATAAGAGGGAAGGGCAGGTCTAGAATTCACATTTTGTAACTTAAATACTTTTTTTTTTACTTTCTCCTATTTTGATATATCATTTGATTTCTTTCCATAGATATATTTTAAAAAACTGTTATAGTTTGATCTAGATCCAAGTACAGGTATGCCTAAAGATGGTTTCTTACCTAGTTTTGTAGGTTTTGGGGGGAGGAGAGTCTACATATTTCTACAGAACCCATTATACTGAGTAGAAACCAAGTTCTTAGAAGAGCCAAGGAAGAAGAAAGTGCAGACGGTGTCTCCTCTGTTGGACAAATTCAGTCCATCCTCAGATACTTACTATTCCACTGCTCAGGTTCTGGTTCGTGTCATTATTCCTAACTTGTCAAGGGCACTAGTGACATAATAATTCCTGGTTTAGACAAAATACAAAGTTTATCTGTGTTACCCCTGAATTCACTTTCTATTCTTTTTCCAGTTTTTAGACACTAGTATTATATGTGTATTAGATACCAGTATCATATATGGGGCCAGTGTTCCAATTGCTATTACAGATAGTAACACATTGTAAACTGCTGCATAATTATCTTATACCAGAAATATTTCTTTTCAGAAAGAGAAACTCAGATAATGCAATGAAAAATGCAGAAAATAAATGTCTAATTGTAGATTTTAAGGCATCCATTGGGGACAGTTTGGGAATACTGAAATCTCACGACCCTTCAAAATGCATCACGTAAGCGCTGCTATGGGCAACACTGGTCTAGTCATAGACACTACAGAGAATATAAGGGCACATCCATTAGGCATTGTTATAAAAAAGTTACTTTTACCTATTGCTTTAATTCAAAATCAAAATCATAGAAGCCAAGGAAGAGGAGTAAGTTAGTCAGAAGAAATCAAGTATAGTTCTCTTACCTCAAATATCTTTTTAGAAGCCAAGGAGCTCGTGTAGGCATATTCACTAAAAAAGAGAATATACCATAAAATTAATTTATAAATGGAGATTCTTTAAAGATTAACAAAACTTGTTTTTACTTCTTGGCAATTACCTCATTCATACATTTAATGGCTAGCTTAACTGAGCTTATTTTCAATTAATCTGCCATTGTTTCATTCAGATATGAGGTATACCTGTACACATTTCCCCTAGAAGCCTTTAAATTGAACTCCTTCAAGACAACATTAAACAGCAGAAATACCTATCCAATAATTGTCAAAGAGTTCAGAATTGAATATATATATTCAACATATATATGTACATATATACACGTTAAGATCTATGAAGGATGTCTGTCTACATGTACAGTAAAGTGACTAATTGTTTAGACAGCCAACTAGGACACAGCCATTCCAGATAAAATAAAAATAGTGTAATATGTAATAGGTAGCTATACATCACATGTATTAGGATTTTAACAAAATATAAAATAGGTACGTACAATTAATATTCTATATTTCCTTTTGTTACATAAACACTATTAAGCAAAAAACAGTAGGAGCAGTTAACAGTGGCAATGAGCAGTCATTTATAGAACTAAACAGTATGTGTGAGAATAATATAACAATATCTTTGTTTCTTTCTCTGATACAGATTTTAACTCCTTATCGTATATTTAAATTTTATAAGCCATATTATTATGTATTTTTTAAATAGTTGTCAAGTTGGTTACCATATAACACCCAGTGCTCATCCTCACAAGTGCCCTCCTCCATGTCCATCTCCCCCCTTCCCCTCTCCCCCACCTCCCATCAGTCCTCAGTTTGTTCTCAGCATTCAAGAGTCTCTCATGGTTTGCTTCCCTCCCTCTCCCCCCCATTTCCCGCCTTCTTCTCCCCCACGGTCCTCCATTAAGTTCCTCTTAATCCTCCTATACGTGCAAACATGGTATTTGTCCTTCTCTGCCTGACTTATTTCGCTCAGCATAACACCCTCAAGGTCCATCCATGTTGCCACACGTGGCCAGATTTCATCCTTTCTCATTGCCATGTAGTATTCCATGGTATAGATGAACCACATCTTCTTGATACATTCGTCCGTTGATGGACACTTAGGCTCTTTCCATGTTTTGGCTACTGTTGAGAGTGCTGCTATGAACATTGGGGCACATGTGCTCCTATGCATCAGCACTCCTGTGCCCCCTGGGTAAATTCCTAGCAGTGCTACTGCTGGGTCATAGGGGAGTTCTGTTGTTAATTTTTTGAGGAACCTCCACACTATTTTCCAGAGGGGCTGCACCGGTTTACATTCCCACCAACAGTGTAGGAGGGTGCCCATTTCTCCACATCCTTGCCAGCATCTAGTGTCTCCTGATTTGCTCACTTTAGCCACTCTGACTGGCGTGAGGTGGTATCTCAGTGTGGTTTTGATTTGTAATTCCCTGATGAGGAGGGATGCTGAGCATCGTTTCATGTGTCTGCTGGCCATCTGGATGTTCTCTTTGGAGAAGTGTCTGTTCATGTCTTCTGCCCATTTCTTCACTGGATTGTTTGTTTTTCAGGTGTGGAGTTTGGTGAGTTCCTTATAGATTTTGGATACTATACCTTTATCTGATATGTCATTTGCAACTCTCTTTTCCCATTCCGTCGGATGCCTATCAGTTTTATGGATTGTTTCCTTTGCTGGGCAGAAGCTTTTAATCTTGATGAGGTTCCAATAGTTCATTTTTGCTCTTGATTCCCTTGCCTTTGGGGATGTGTCAGGTAAGAAATTGCTGCAGTTGAGGTCAAGGAGGTTGTTTCCTGCTTTCTCCTCTAAGGTTTTGATGGTTTCCTGTCTCACATTCAGGTCCTTTATCCATTTTGAGTTTATTTTTGTGTATGGTGTGAGAAAATGATCTAGTTTCATTCTTCTGCATGTTGCTGTCCACTTCTCCCAGCACCATCTGTTAAAGATGCTGTCTTTTTTCCCATTGGATACTCCTTCCTGCTTTGTCAAAGATTAGTTGGCTGTACACTTTTGGGTCCAATTCTGAGTTCTCAAGTCTATTCCATTGGTTGGTCTATGTGTCTGTTTTTGTGCCAATACCATACTGTCTTGATGATGACAGCTTTGTAGTAGAGGCTAAAGTCTGGGATGGTGATGCCTCCTGTTTTGCTTTTCTTCTTCAATATTACTAGACTATTCTGGGTCTTTTGTGGTTCCACACAAATTTTAATAGTTCTAGTTTTGAGAAGTATGCTGATGCAATTTTGATTGGGATTGCATTGAAGGTGTAGATTGCTTTGGGTAGTAATGACATTTTAACTATATTTATTCTTCCAATCCATGAGCATGGAATGTTTTCCCATTTGTGTCTTCTTCAATTTCCTTCATAAGTTTTCTATAGTTTTCATCATACAGATCTCTTGTATCTTTGGTTAGGTTTATTCCTAGGTATTTTATGTTTTTTTGTGCAATTGTGAATGGGATTAGTTTCTTGACTTCTCTTTCTGTTGCTTCATTATTGGTGTATAAAAATGCAACCGATTTCTGTATGTTGATTTTGGACCCTGCCACTTTGCTGAATTCTTGGATCAGTTCTAGTAGGCTTCTGGTGGAGTCTGTCGGGTTTTCCATATAGAGAATCATGTCGTCTGTGAAAAGTGAAAGTTTGACTTCTTCTTTGCCAATTCTGATGCCCTTTATTTCCTTTTGTTGTCTGATGGCTGATGCTAGGATTTCTAGCACTATGTTAAACAACAGTGGTGAGAGTAGACATCTCTGTCGTGTTCCTGATCTCAGGGGGAAAGATGTCAGTTTTTCCCCCATTGAGGATGATGTTAGCTGAGGGCTTCGCATAGATGGCTTTTATGATTTTGAAATTCCTTCTATCCCGACTTTCTCAAGGGTCTTTATTAAGAAGGGATGCTGTATTTTGTCAAATGCTTTTACTGCATCTATTGACACGACCATATGATTTTTATCTTTTGTTGATGTGATGTATCACATTCATTGATTTGCGAATATTGAACCAGCCCTGTAACCAGGAATGAATCCCACTTGATCTTGGTGGATAATTCTTTTTATGTGCTGTTGGATTTGATTTCCAAGTATCTTGTTGAGGATTTTTGCATCTGTATTCAACAAGGATATTGGCCTGTAGTTCTTTTTTTTTTTTGCTGGGTCTCTGGCTTGGGAGTCAAAGTGATGCTGGCTTTAGAAAATGAGTCCAGAAGTTTTCCTTCGATTTCCACTTTTTGGAATAGTTTGAGAAGAATCGGTATTAATTCTGTTTTAAATGTCTGGTAGAATTCCCCAGGGAAGCCATCAGGTCCAGGGCTCTTATTTGTTGGGAGATTTTTGATAACTGATGCGATTTCCTCACTAGTTATGGGTCTGTTCAGGTTTTCTGTCTCTTCCCGTGTGAATTTTGGTAGTGAGTGTGTGTTTAGGAATTTATCCATTTCTTCTAAGTTGTCCAATTTGTTGACATATAGTTTTTCATAGTATTCCCTGATAATTGTTTGTATTTCTGAGGGGTTGGTTGTAATCAGTCCATTTTCATTCATGATTTTTTCTATTTGAATGCTCTTTTGTTTTTGAGAAGCCTGGCTAGAGGTTTGTCAATTTTGTTTATTTTTTCAAAAAGCCAAGTCTTGGTTTCATTGATCTGTTCAACTGTTTCTTTGGTTTCTATATTGTTTATTTCTGCCCTGATTTTTACTATTTCTCTTCTTCTACTGGGTTTGGGGTGCTCTTGTTTCTCTCCCTCTAGCTGCTTTAGGTGCGCTGTTAGATTTTGCACTTGCGCTTTTTCTAATTTCTTGAAATAGGCCTGGAGTGCAATGTACTTTCCTCTTAGGACTGCTTTCGCTGCATCCCATAGAGTTTGGATTGTTGTATTCTCATTTTCATTTGTTTCCATATATTTTTAAATTTCTTCTCTAATTGCCTGATTGGCCCATTCATTCTGTAGTAGGGTGTTTTTTAACCTCCATGTTTTTGGAGGTTTTCCAGACTTCTTCCTGTGATTGATTTCGAGTTTCATAGCATTGTGATCTGAAAGTGTGTATGGTATGATCTCAATTCTTTTATATTGATTGAGGGCTGCTTTATGTACCAGTATGTGACCTGTCTTGGAGAATGTGCCATGCACGCTTGAGAAGAATGTGAATTCCATAGCCTCAGGATGTAGAGTTCTAAATATATCTGTCAAATCCATCTGGTCCAATGTGTCACTTAAGTCCATTGTGTCTTTACTGATTTTCTGTCTAGTTGATCTATCCATTGCTGTAAGTGGAGTATTAAAGTCCCCTGCTATTAGCAAGTTCTTATTGATAAGAGTGTTTCTGTTTGTGATTATTTTATGTATTTAGGTGCTCCCATATTTGGTGCGTAGACATTTATAATTGTTAGCTCTTCCTCATGGATAGACCCTGTAAGTATTATATAATGCCCTTCTTCATCCCTTATTACTGTGTTTACTTTGAAGTCCAGTTTGTCTGATTTAAGTATAGCTACTCCAGCTTTTTTTTGACTTCGTGTAGCTTGATAGATATTTCTCCATCCCCTTACTTTCAATCTGAGGGTGTCCTCCAGTCTAAAATGAGTTTCTTGTAGACAGCAAATAGATGGATTTTTTTTTTTTTTATCCATTCTGGTACCCTATGTCTTTTGATTGGGGCATTCAGCCCATTTACATTCAGTGTTATTGAAATATATGGGTTTAGAGTCATGTCCTTTGTGGGATTTATGCTTGTGGTGGTGTCTCTGTTATCTTGTGTTCCTTGCAACATTTCCCTCAGAGAGTCCCCCTCAGGATTTCTTGTGGAGCTGGTTTAGTGGTGACAAATTCTTTCAATTTTTGTTTTTGGAAAGACTTTGATCTCTCCTTCTATTCTGAATGACAGGCTTGCCAGATGGAGGATTCTTGGCTGCATATTTTTTCCGTTCATCACATTGAGTATCTCCTGCCATTCCTCTGGCCTGCCACGTTTCAGCAGATGAGTCTGTCACCACTCTGATAGGTTTCCCTTTGTATG